GTAGAGACAAGGTTTCACCATGTTGGCCAGGCTGGTTTCGAACTCCTGACCCTGTGATCCATCCGCCTCAGCTGCCCAAAGTGCTGGGATTACAGGGGTGAGCCACTACGCCTGGCCCTTTCCTTGGTCTTTACTCTTTGACTATCTCTATCTCAAGTAGTTGCTTATGTGCCTGGCCTGTGGCCAGTGATGGGCTCCTAACTATAGCTATTGAAATAATTGGAGAGCTAAAGAGAGAGACTGGAGCTTTGCCCAGAAAGTGATCATTGGTTTCTTTTTTAGATACAGGGTTTTACTCTGTCAGTCAGGCTGGAGGGCAGAGGTGCAATCATAGTTCATTGCAGCCTCTACCTCCTGGGCTCGAGTGATCCTCCTGTCTCAGCCTCTTGAGTGGCTAGGACGTGCCATGAAGCCTGGCTTATGTTTTATTTTTTGTACACATGGGGTCTTGCTATGTTGCACCCTGACATGTCACACGGAGTAGGGGTGCTCCCCCTGGAACCCACAAAGATTCCACAGGCCTGGGAATCCCCTTTCCTTGATTTTTTTTTTTTTTTTGAGATGGCATCTTGCTCTGTCACCTAGGCTGGAATGCAGTGACATGGTCTTAGCTAGCTGCAACCACCACCTTCCAGATTCAAGTGATTCTCCTGCCTCAGCCAGGAAAGTTTCATGATGGTCTAATACTTTTGGCCGCAAGTGCCTCGGCCTCCCAAAAGTGCTGGGATTACTGACATGACCCACTGCACCAGACTTGCCTGGAATTTTAAAGTCACTTTATCATATATTGGGTTTCTCTAAATCTTGGTAACTCATGGAAAAGCTCATACAGCAAGCTTAGAGTCTACTGATCCCAGTGTACCCTTGCACCAAGATCTGGAAGGAGATAAAGGTTAAGACTTTGGTGCCGACTAGGTGCATTTGCTGAACAGGAATCCGATGCACAGGTGACATGTTAGGGTCTAAGACCCCTGAGAAACTCAGGAAATGCATGGGGGCAGTCAGGAAGGGGAGTGAAGCTTGCAAGTTCAGAGGACTGTTTCTCAGCGTGGGTGCAGCCCAATCCTCCGGGCAATGTAAGTACTTGGAAGGCTGACTTTTGGAAAGCGAGGCATACTACCCAGTCCTAGCCCTTTTATGTACCTGTAATACACACATAAATCTGTGCATGTGTGATAGGACCTTATTTATGCATGAATTCTGTGTGTGTGCGCGTGTGCGTGTGTGTGTGCATGTGCGTGTGCGTGTGTGTGCATGTGTGTGTGTGTGTGTGTGTGTGTGTGTGTTTTAGAAACAGGGTATGGCTCTGTCATCCAAGCTGGAATTGCAGTGGTGCGATTATCGCTCACTGCAGCCTTGAACTCCCAGGCTCAGGTGATCTTTCTGCCTCAGCTTCTGGAGCAGCTGGGACCACAGGCATGCACCACCATGCTCGGCTAATTTTTATTTTTTTGTAGAGATGGGGTCCTGTTATGTTGCCTAGGCTGGATATCCTGTGTCTTTTTCATCTTTGTATTCTCTCCCTCTTTCATTTTATCCAGCCAGGGATTAGCACGGTGCCAGGCACAGACTGGCTGCCATCTCCACTTGCTGCCCGGCCGTCTGTGGATTGCTGGTCTGTATCAGATCTGAAGGGCTCCATTGTACTCATTGCTTCCCAGTACCAGCTCCTGTGAGTGAGGGAGTTGGACTCGGAGAGCCTTGCCCACAACTGAGCATATGAAGCGTGTCAATCTGGAGCCCTTAACAACCCAGTGGGGAAAAGCAAATGCAATTTCTCCTCTTGGTGTTTCTTCAGATGCATCACAAATTGGAATCATTTCATGTCTGAAGGCTCATTAGAAAATGTTTCTAAAAGGCAATGCAGCCCATTAAGGCTCATTCTGAAGAGTGGTTTTAAGTTCTTCACATTTGTATCTATATTTGTTAAAGATCAAGTTCAATTTTTGAAATTGCCAGATGTCTTGGCTCAACTACAGGGTTTAAGTCAGAACTCTTGGAGGACACTCTGCTTAGTAATAAGAAAGTTACTATCCCCTACTAAAGCCCCACATTTTAGCCATGGGAATCATTATTACTGCTTAAAAATCAGAATTGCAGATTGAATTAATTTTATCTGAAGTATTTTCTATAAAATGACTGATCTCAAGCTTCAGTAAATTTAATAGATCTCAGCTGCCTCTTTTGGTACCAATGGTAACAGGGTAAGTTTCTGGATGTTTGCTAATTCGTAGGATTTGTCAGTTTCTCCCCTCTTCCCTCCTCCTTTCTTGTTCTTTGTCACTTTCAATCACTGGCTTTTAGTCCTGAGTTGTGAATCTTAGAGATTTGATCTAAGACAAATAACCATGGTATATTATGATCTTCAATTTTTGTTTTTTGTTTTTGTTTTTTTACTGAATCTTGCTCTGTCACCCAGGCTGGAAGCGCAGTAGGGCGATCTTGTCTCACTGCAACCCCTGCCTCCAGGGTTCAAGTGATTCTCCTGCCTCAGTCTCCTGAGTAGCTGGCATTACAGGTGCCCACCACCACACCTGGCTAACTTTTGTATTTTTTTTTTTTTTTGAGATGGAGTTTCGCTCGTGCTACCCAGGCTGGAGTGCAATGGTGTGATCTCGGCTCACTGCAACCTCCGCCTCCTGGGTTCAGGCAATTCTCCTGCCTCAGCCTCCCGAGTAGCTGGGATTACAGGCACGCACCACCATGCCCGGCTATTTTTTGTATTTTTAGTAGAGACGGGGTTTCACCATGTTGACCAGGATGGTCTTGATCTCTTGACCTCATGATCCACCCACCTTGGCCTCCCAAAGTGCTGGGATTACAGGTGTGAGCCACCGTGCCCGGACTTAACTTTTGTATTTTTAATAGAGACGGGGGTTTCACCATGTTGGCCAGGCTGGTCTCCAACTCCTGACCTCAGGTGATCTCTCCTCGGCCTACAATCTTCAGTTCCTCTTTATGAGAGAACTAAAGCAGAATAAAGCATCAAGCCCTCCTGATGTCCAGCAATTCCACACCCCTCTTATAACAGCGCTATTCACAATAGCAAAGTCGTGGAACCAACCGAAGGGCCAGGTCAGGTCCACTGAGGCTCTGGTCAAGTGGTATCCTGGGAGCTTAGGTTTGAGTGGGTAGGTGGCTCTTTAGAGTGACCAGAAGCAGATGAAGTCAAGAAGACAAGTGGAAATTGTGTGCAGGATACGGTTTTGCAGGTCAGAAACATAGCCTGATATGTGCTTGGGATCTGTGACAAATGAGGGCTTAGGGAAGGATTACTGACACACAAAAGTTCAAAAGACACAGAAGTCAGAATTGCTATCATTAAAAATCCAAAAAACAACAGATGCTGATGTGAATGTGGAGAAAAGGAAACAACTTATATATTGTTAGTGAGAATGTGAATTAGTTTAATCTCTATGGAAAACAGTATGTAGCTATCTCAATCCATTGGGGTCCAGCAGTCCCGCTACTGGGATCTGTCTACCCAAAAGAAAAGAAAAGAAATCACCGTATGAAAAAGATACCTGTGGGCCAGGCACTGTGGCTCATGCCTGTAATCCCAGCACTTTGGGAGGCTGAGTCAGGTGGATCACGAGGTCAGGAGTTCGAGACCACCCTGTCTAATATGATGAAACCTCGTCTCTACTAAAAGTACAAAAAAATTAGCCAGGCATAGTGGTGCATGCCTGTAGTTCTAGCTACTCAGGAGGCTGAGGTAGGAGAATCACTTGAACCCAGGAGGCAGAGGTTTTAATGAGCCGAGATGGTGCCACTGACTCCAGCCTAGGTGACAGAGTGAGACTCTGTCTCAACAAAACAAAAACACCTGCAAGCGTATGTTTCTCGCAGCACTATTTACAATAGCAAAGTCACGGAACCAACTTAGGTGTCCATCAAAGGTTGATGGCATAAAGAAAATGTCGTATGTATCCATCATGGAATACTATGCAGCCATAAAAAAGAATGAAGTTATGTCCTTCGCAGCAACATGGATGGAGCTGAAGGCCATTATCCTAGGTGATTGAACTCAAAAGAAGTTAATCAAATACTACATGTTTTACTTATAAGCGGGACCTAAATAATGAGTAAAACATGGACATAAAAATGGAGGTAATAGACACGAGGGAATCTAAAAGGGAGAGGGTGGGAAGGAGGTAGATAAAAAAGTTCCCTACTGGAAACAATGTTCAATATTTGGGTGGTGGGTTCACTGGAATCCCAGCATTCACCATTAGACAATAGACCCACGTAACAAACATGCTCATGTACCCCTGAATCTAAAATTTAAAATAAAAATAGAGAGAGAGAGAGAAAGGGCTTTAAGGAACAAGGAAAGAGTGTGACTGCCTAAATGCATATGCTGAGCTAACACTGTGCTATGGTGTCCAAGTTTCTTTACTGAGTCCTGGTCGTAATAGTAGGTGGGCCTGATTCCATAAAGCAGTTAGGATAGAAATGGGACTTCAGGCCCTTAGAGCACCCCAGTTTTGGTTCTACAGAGCTTTCTGAGGATACATTATACATAAACCGTTCTCTGATGTTTCCGTTGGCGGATATCTTTATTTGCTATTAGCAGTTGATCCTAGAAATTTCCCAGGAAGGTAAGCCCAGAGGCCTTTGAATCTAACCAACCAAATAAATGAACGAATACACGAACAAAGGAATAAGCCGTAGTGCAAGTTTTCTGTGCTTCCGTAGATAATAGATATTCTGAAATCGTAGAGCTTAATTAGGCCCTCAGAAATTACTTCCTCCAATTAAGCTCATTTTAACCAATGGAAGTAACAAGCCCTAAAGACCCAGTAATTCCAGCCGGTCAGTGATGCTTTCTGGACCTAAGGCCAGCTCTTCCACCTATTTTAGATTTTTTTTTTACACCAACTTTCTCTGTCAAAGTTTTAACCCTTACCAAGTTTAACTTCTGATAACGTTTGTTTTTAATTTTTAATTAATTAAAAAATTTTTTTTGAGACGGAGTTTTGCTGTTGTCTTTCATGCAGGAGTACAATGGTGTGATCTCGGTTTACTGCAGTCTCTACCTCCTGGGTTCAAACGATTCTCCTGCCTCAGCGTCCGGAGTACTGGGATTACAGGCAAGCATCACCACGTCTGGCTTATTTTTTCTATTTTTAGTAAAGCGGGGTTTCACCCTGTCGACCAGGCTGGTCTCGTACTCCTAACCTCAGTTGATCCACCTGCTTCGGCCTCCCAAAGTTCTGGGATTGCAGGCATGAGCCACTGTGCCAGGCCCATGATAATGTTTGTTTTTAATGCAGACTTCCGGTGGAAGTGCTCTTTGGATATTCTGTGTGTCTGGGCACTTTGTGTTATATATAGGGTACAGACCTGTGATGTAGATGGAACAATTCTTCATATTCTCCAGAGACACAATTTCAAAGCCAGTCTTGTCTGCGTTTACCTGTACCTTCTCTCAAGCTCTGATCTGTGTTAGAAGTGTCGGTCGCACAGTTAAAGAGAGTGGGAGAACACAGCGTCTAATGGTTTTGAAAACAGTGATTTCTGGATTTAAAACATGGTCAAGCCCTTTACTGGATATGTGAGCAATGGACAGTTTTCATAACCTGTCAGCCACTTGGTTTTCTCAACTGAAAAATAAAGAAAACAATAGTGCCCACATCTTAGTGTTTGGGAATGTTAGAGAAAAAAAGAATGATACCTGTGAGGGCATGATAAGAAAGACTTACTGGCCAGGATGGTGGCTCGTGCCAGTAATCACAGTGCTTTGGGAGGCAGTTGCGGGAGGACTGCTTGAGCTCAGGAGTTTAAGACCAGCCTAGGCAACATAAAAAGACCCCATCTCTACAGGTACATATTTTATTTTTTATTTTTTTTAGACAGGGTTACACTCTTGTTGCCCAGGCTGGAGTGCAGTGGTGCAATCTCGGCTCACTGCAATATCTGCCTCCTGGTTTCAAGTAATTCTCCTGTCTCAGCCCCCAGAGTAGCTGGGCTACAGGCTCGCACCACCACACCTGGCTAATTTTCTGTATTTTTAGTAGAGATGGGGTTTCACCATGTTTGCCAGGCTGATTTTAAACTCCTGACCTCAGGTGATCCACCTGCCTCAGCCTTCCAAAGTGCCGAGATTATAGGCGTGAACCACTGCACCCAACCACAAATAAATATTTTAAATGAATTAGCCAGGTGTGGTGGCATGTACTTGTGATCCCAGCTACTTGGGAGACTGAGGTGGGAGAATTGCTTGAGCCCAGGAGGTTGAGGCTGCAGTGAGCCATGATTGTGCCACTGCACTCCTGCCTGAGTGATAAAGGAAAACCCTGTTTCAAGAAGAAAAGAAAAAGAAAAGAAAGACTATTTAGGTGGAACTATCATAATAAATATACAATAAATAAATACAGTCTCAAAATTCCACTGAGATGGGATTTTGCAGTGGGGAGGAGAGATTGGGGTCACTTTCAGATACAGTGTGTGTAAGTGGGAACTGATATACAGGGGTGGGGTCAGTGGATGGAAAACTGCCAAGAGGAAACACGAGAGAAAGGTAAGGGGGCTTCTGAATAAATCAACCTACCAGAATTCTTGCTGAAAACAGGCCAGGAATATTAGACATCACCTCTGAGAGATTGTAAAAGATGAAGAGCCTAATCAGATAGTGAGGGTGACCCAATATTGAGGGTGGACTTAATAGGGTTCTTGCTAAAACTGTATTCTATAAGGAAATACATAGGTGGCCATGGAAATGTTTCAGGAGCCTGACTAAAGCTGGTTCAGATGATCTGTCTGCAAGTTGTATTAAAAAGTAAGAAATCATGCCTGTATCCCAGCACTCTGGGAGGCCAAGGTGGGTGGATCATGACATGAGTTCAGGAGTTCAAGATCAGCCTGGCCAATATGGTGAAACCCCGTCTCTACTAAAAATACGAAAGTTAGCAGGATGTGGTAGCATGTGTCTGTAATCTCAGAGGCAGGAGAATTCCTTGAACCCAGGAGGCAGAAGTTGCAGTGAGCCGAGATTGCATCACCGCACTCCAGCCTGGACAATAGAGCGAGATTTTGTCTAAAAAAAATAAATAAAAGAAAATAAGGTCAACTCAGGCACAAAGCAGCTTCCCAGATTAGGGTCCACCTGGTTTCCTGAGCCTGGGCGGGTTGCAGATTGAAATATTTATGTAGCCAAGGGAGGTTGGCTCTGAGTTCGACTTACTGATGCTGATGGGGGCTTTAGGAGTCTTGGCCTTGCAGCCTTTCCTATTCCAAATTTGTGTTGCACTTGGGGTCTTCAGGTTTGAGAAAATTCCCTAGGGTCCTTTGAGCATGTTGAGGACCACAGAGTTATCTATCAGATTCTGTGAGGCTGACTTTACTGATCACTCCCAATAGCTCAAGGAAATCACAGCCCTCATGCCTTTACCTAACAAGGCAGAGAAAGAGTCCCTCTTCCCTTGGAGAGACTTGTATACCACTGATCTCGTTCCTGCAGCAATAATCCACAGTCAAACAATGTATCTTTCTCTCCCACTCAAGATTCTTAGTCTTTGGAACAAGACGACTTTACAAGAGAGCTATGGTAGAGATAAATTTCTCTCTCTGAAAGCATCGTGTACTTAAATATAATCTGCTGTGCAAAGCAGGTGGATTTTCCAAATCAAATTCATTGGAGGTGTGTATATGCATGATACGGGTTCACTTCACAGGTGACTTTAGATACATTTATTATTTATTTAAAATATTTTATTTAAAATAGGTTCAGGCCAGGCATGATAGCTATGCCCATAATCTTAGCTCTTTGGAAGGCCGATTTGAGAGGATTCCTTGTGACTAGGAGTTTGAGACCAGCCTGAGCAACACAGTAAGGCACTTTCTCTACAGAAAATTAGCCAGGTGTGGTGGCACATGCCTGTAGTCCCAGCTCCTTGGGAGGCTGAGGCAGGAGGATTGCTTCAGCCCAGGAGTTTGAGGCTGCAGTGAGCTATGATTGAGCCACTGCACTCTAGCTTGGGTGACGGAGGAAGACTTTATCTCTATAATAATAATAATAGTAATAATAAAATAAAGGTTTATTAATTTAAATAATGAATTTGTATTACCTGTCTCAAAAAATCATTTGTTACCACACGAAATAGAGTCTATCTCTACAGCAAAAGGTAGTGACAAATGATGACTGCAAGAAAAAAAGGAGGTATTTGCCAGCATTTCCCAGCAGCTAGTCTTCAAAACAAGATGAAGACAAAAAATCATTCTCATTCCACAAGCACGCCACAGACATATTGTTGTGAGGGAAACAGAAACAGCATCAAATTCACAGAGTAAAGAATAAAAGGACCTTTTTGCAGGACACATCTGATCTCACTCTCCAGTCCAGATGGAGGCCCTCTTATCAGTGTGGACTGTGTTCTTCCATGCCCTTTGATATGCATTTTTTCATCCGATGAGCATATATCTAAACACACAATCTCAGATGTGCAAGAAATGTCATGTTTTTCATTTTCTGTAACTAAGTGTGATATTGATTCCGAAGCTCCAAAGTTCTGTCAAGCAGGCAGAAGATCTCAGTGCAGACATTTCAGGGTTCCAATATTGTTTCGGGCCAAGTGATAAAGGTCTTCTGTAGTGCTAAGGCAATGGAAGGTGCCCTCAGATTTGTGGCCATTGGTTCCCACAGGTTGCTTTCCCTTTTCCCCATTCTGTTGGGTCTCTATACTGTAACCTGCTTTGCACAGGGCAAAAAACTCTGCATAGGCTATGAACCAAGAACCTAAGGACACACCGCTCAGCTGCCTCTCCAAGTTTCTGCTGCTTCCCCAACTGCTGGAGAATGAAACTTGGGTCCCAATCCAGAAACTCCAGACTGCTCTCTTCCTACTCAATCTGGGGCATGTGTCCTTTCCAAGTCTCTTCGTCCGCGAGAGGCTTTTCCTGTTCTTCTGTTTAGAGACTCGGCACCATTTCATTCATGAGGTCCAATAAATCTTTTCCAGAACAAGAAAGGTCCCCGGTCTTCAGGCTATGTTCGTTTCTGCCCTATGCAAACCCCTGGGCCTAGGAATTACAGAGCTCAGCTACCAGTCTGGAATAAGAAGAAAGGAGATGGGTGGCCATAGGAAAGACACATGTAAATTATCCATGCACTTACCTTCTCACTGTGTCTACACATCTTCCCCTAAACACGTTTATCCCGCAGTTTCCCCATGTCAGTTAAGCCTTGCACTATTCTTTCAGTTGCTTTGAACAGAAAGAAAACAATCTCTTTCTTTTTTTACACTCCACACCCACTCCATTGCTAAATCCTGTTGGTGCTACTTTTCTTTTTTCTCTTTGTTTATTTGTTTTTTTGACGGAGTCTTGCTCTGTTGCCCAGGCTGGAGTGCAATGGAGTGATCTCAGCTCAATGCAACCTCCACCTCCCTGGTTCAGGTGATTCTCCTGCACCAGCCTCCTGAGTAGCTGGGATTACAGGCCCCTGCCATCAGGCCTGGCTAATTTTATATTTAGAGATGGGGTTTTGCCATGTTGGCCAGGTTGGTCTGAAACTCCTGACCTCAGGTGATCCACCCACCTCGGCCTCCCAAAGCGCTGGGACTATAGGCGTGAGCCGCCGCGCCCGGTCTGTTGGCTCTACTTCCTAAATACAGCCAGAATTCAACCACTTGTCACCAGTTTCCCAGCTTCGTCTTGGTTCATCTTCTTCCACTCACCAGCATTTCTTTCTGGATCACCTTAATAGCCTCCTAAGTGGTCCTCCTGCTTTTGCCTCTTCCTCCCAATAATCTGTTCTTAGCACAGCAGACAGAGTGGCCCTGGTGAAACAGAGCTCACATCATATCCTATCTCTGTCCAGCGCAGCAATGGCTTGTTGTCTCATTCAAGGTCAAAGCTGAAGACTTCAGAACGGCTACTGAAGACCCGTGAGATGTGGTCCCCACTGCCTTTGTCTAATTTCGCCATCTCTCTTTACTCATTCTGCCCTAATCCTGGCTCTGTGCTCTTTGTAATGGCCCTTTACCTGCAATGATCTTTCTTCATCTGTCAACATGATGATCACCTTCCTTTAGGTCTCTCCTTTCTGTTACCATGCTATTCAAAATTGCAATGTCCCCTCCACAGACACTCCTTTTC